AAGGAAATCCATTGTTGCTCTGGGGCTATCAAACAATGGCATGCACAATGCCGACACAATCGACAATTGTATAGTAGCCGTTACGTTTTTTTCTTCTTTTTTTCTAGATATCACTCCTTTGCTTTTTTTCATCATGACAATAGTGGTCTAACGATTCTTACTAGTTAACGGAAAATGTCAACGGATTTGTCGAGCAGTTTTCGCGATTTTTTTCGCGAAATTCTAGAAACGGTTCTTTTTTTTAATAGAATCGTGTTCTTTTTTACACTGTAAACGGATATTCTTAACGGACCTACGTATCGGAAGAAAGAAAATCGAATAAAAATCGACAGTTATTTAAAAAACCTTGATATAATTTTATAAAAATATCTTATAGAAGTTGTTGGGAAACACAATATGACTTACACGTGCCACACTTCTCTATAAAGGAATTCTTCTATAGGGAATTGAAGGAGAGGGTTATAGGAAAATACAATAGATTGCAAGTTCTATTATAGAGAAGAAATTTCTCTATATATAAGAAATTTTTATTTTCTATTCAAAAATAAAAGGAAAAAATATATTAAGCTATTACACAGAAATGACAATATAGTTTGTCAATAATAATTCTGCATATTTGACATTACATTATATTATTAGCAAATTGGTAAAAGTATCGAATACAATTATAATATTTATATAAAAACTTTTTATGCTAATTTAATTATTTTAATTTTTCCAAAAAAGTTTTCCTCAAAACCTTCCTTTTCTACTTGTAACTAATTTCTTCACTAAACAGATTCCATAACAGATAAAGGATATACTTTTCGAGGGATACGAATAGCTTCATTTCTAATACAAAGAAGTTAACAGAGAAGGCGAGAAAATCTTCAGAGAGAAGGTGAGAGGACGATAAGAAGTACGGTTTAAAGAGGAAGAAGAAGAGGAAGAAGAAGAAGAAGAAGAAGAAGAAGAAGAAGAAGAAGAAAGAGAAGATAGAGCCGAAGGGACTCAGGAGGAAATAAGAAAGCGACAAAGTCGTTGAAACGGGCGTGCTCCGCTGCTCGCGCATTGGTGCACCGTTGTGCACGATGTGTGCACAGTCGCCATGTTGAATATCCCCACTTCTGTTTCACGTGTCAGGGCACCTACACACGTGCTGCTGCCACCGTCGTGGCCACACGCGCCGTCCTCGGTAGGGCGAGAAATCGAGCCTCATCGGCTCCGCCATGGGGGCTGGTTGCTGTACACGGCGAGGGGGCAAGCAGGGAGGGGAAACAGAAAAATATGAGGATTTAAGGGGTTGGATGCCAATTTCGGATAGCCGACTCTCTCGTCGTGCAGCCTCTCCTAATTGAAGCGACCCTGACGATGGTTCAAGCTGCACGGACAAGATATTTATTAGAGCACGGAGTGTCTTCCCCCCTCCGGACTTGAATTACGATCGTAATGTATTCGCCGTGAGAGAAAGGAGGATATTCTTGGGAACACATGCGACATTAATCCCACTGTACTTTCCCGTGGTAATTGCGGTTTGAAATTCTGGTCGAATGAGAGAGGCAATTTCTACAGAGAATCGAACCGACACAAAATTGCTCGATTATTGGAAGCCGCGAGAAATTAATTTACCAATATAAATTCGTTATTCCTTTCTCTCTTCCGCTCTTTCCCCTCTCCTTCCCTGACGTTAAGAATAGAATACCAACACGAATATGTTAGTTCGCCTCAGGCATAGAACGCGCGCGCGACGAAATTAATAATCGATTGATTGAAATTAATATTGATTGAAAGTATAATGATGCAAATCGTCAATCTCGGAACGCTTACATTTCTGCGTGCTGTAAATGCCGTTCGATATCATCCGAACATATGTAACATTAAAAGTTAATCGATTATTCCTGGCGAGATGAGGGTCCCGTGATTGAGTACTTCCAATCTCACGCGATATGGCGTTTACCGAGCGTCTCCGATCCGTCGTCCTTTGATACGTCGATTGATTCGTTCTAACTCTGATTAGACGTAGCGATTTAGCACGGAATTTATTGTCGCTATAGACTCGCTTCCTCGTCATGACGGAATATTTCTTCTTATAACATATCGAATAAGTCGATACCGATTTGCAAGCGAACGCAGTTTACACGTACTACATCATACACCTTTAATATCACTATTGAAATGAATATGAAAATTATATAAATATTTTAACGCCCTGTTTCTAACTCTGACAAATCCTAACATTTGGAAAGAATTAATAATGAAACGTATTCTTGCCACATCCATATAACGATAGATATTTCTTTTTAAACTCGAACTTTCTCTATAAGTTTCTAGAATAAATCTAATGAAACTCAAAGTCATAAAAGGACATAAAAATATTTAGATATAAAAAATATTAAATAAAAAATGAAAGTTATATCTTTATCACGTATTTAGTAATACGATGATATAATTATATAAATACGGTCATCATTTTTAAAATAAGAGGCAATAATTGTAAAACGATATCTCGTAAATGTTAATGTAATTGTAACGAGTACAGTGTTATCCATTCCAATTTTCAACGCGGTTTTGAGATCAACGATGACTTGATTACAATCAATGGTTAAACGTCGTCCGAAGATGAACGTCAATTATGAAATATTCGCTCGGTCGACAGTAGATTTTCACGGTTCCGCGATCACGAGTGCTTTCAACATCGTGACAGGAGTGTCAATTCGCGCCGTCGGTTGACGTCTTAATTGCGCAATTAGCGTCGATCAAATTATATGACAGTGTTGGATATTACTGTTAAATTCTCCGTAATCGCAATATCGCATAGATCAGACCAAGTCAGTCGACTTATGATATTGAGTTTCGAAAGATTTTAAAAACGCGCGAATGTGAACTCCACTTTTCGTACTTTTAATGGCAATCAATGTTTTGAGCATTTAATTTTTGTATTTAAATTTATTTCTTGACATTGTTTTATTGAGCAACTGATTTTTATCGATTAATGCGATGTTGAAAAGCAGTTTGTATATATGGAAATTAATAGAAATTTAAGCTTCACAAATTGTGAAAGAAATTTCGATAAATGTATATGTAAATAAATTATTATACTTCTTCGGTGATCTTTAACCTTTACAGTAGAATAGAATCCTAAAATAATTTTTTTCTAAATCAAGAATCGCATATCTTTAATCTTTTAATAATTTGTTAGGATAATATTTTTATATTTTCTATACATAACGAATCTCAAAGAAAGACTATGCGTTTGAAAATATTATAAGAGAATTTTATTTTAGGATCTTTTTAAATTGTTTTTTTTTTAATATTTCTTATAAGATTACTTTCAAAATATACCTTCTTTCTTCTTTTCTGTATTTTAATTTTGAAAAATGTCAAATACGGGAATAAACATCTTATGTTTAAATATCTGATTTTTATGAATTCATATTTTTCGTGATTCTTCAATTTTATGAGAAAACTCTTCATTTTTATTTGGTATTTCTATTTTATTACTTTGTAAGTAATCTTTTTTATATTTTTTTTGTATTTAACAATGAAAAGAATCTAAAGTCATGTTTACTAAGTAAAATACTAAAATTACAAAGAATAAAAGTCATACTTAATATTCTTTCATTTCCAATACCCAAGTGAATAATCTATCATAATAATAAAATTCATCATTAATATTGTGTACTAATCATTTCTAGACCTTTCGTTTGGAATAACTTATCAATACTGATTATTTTAGATCTTCTGTTTAGAATAACTTGCTCAACAGCTAAAATTACATCGAAACATTTCTTTATTGGGTAAAATCTTTGGTCATTATTCATTTGAAATGTAAAATATCTTCTATTGAAAAGGTTACCTTATACAAAGAATATAAAGACGGTAATTATTATACAAAGAAAAGGTGCTTCGCAGCCTTGTTACGAACTCTTTTGACCTTTCACAGCTTTTTCTTCGCCTCTCCAGCGGGATTTTATTGCTGCTCTCCAGCAGAGAGGAGAGCTCGAAGAAACAAACGGATCCATACGATTCGTAAAACGTACGAGTAGCTTCTCTCTCGTTTCTCCCACGGGAGGGGATAGACGGGAAGGAGAAAGGGGAAGGATTAAGAATCAGGGGGGGCGGGAGGTTGGGGGAGGAAACGGGGGAAACGCGGGTGGGAGCGCGAGGGAGAGCCAGACGTATTAATTAAACGACTCATTTTCATCGCACGACAAAAACGTGAGTTTAACGCCCATCGCCGACTAATACGTCGCCCCACTGCAGCTTCTACGTACCTCGCAGGAATCCTGGTAGCCACGTCCGCGTTCTGGCCTCGCGTCGCGGCGGATCGGCCAATCGGATACGAGCTGGTGCACGCCTAGCTTCGTGCGCATTATCATCGAGCAACGCCCATCCACGGTCGATTTTCTGAATCCCCACTTTGCGAGGTACCCTCAGACTGGTGAGGGATACTCTGGTGGGGTATTGGCTCGAGGCTCCCTGCTTCACCAGACTGGTCCCCACTACGGCGAGGCGAGCGCCTCGTTTAGCCTGTAATTTGCTCAAACACTAGCAAGCTCTCGTGCCAGGAACATCCGTCAGAGCTGGTGCTCGGAGTTCGCTCTTATAACCTGGAGCTCAATTTTCATAGAACGTGTGACGTGTACTCACAGATTACGTGTCCTTTTACATCCCATTTCTTATCAAGGTTTTAAACGCGTTGCAAACAGGTCGATGGAGAGTGTTGGACGTGACGTACAAGTGAGTGTCGTGAGACCGCAGCCAGTGCGACGGCGTTCGTGATTACGTCAGTTAAGTTACGTTGATGGGTAATTTGGAAGTACTTGCGAGACGACGAGTTCGCGAATACGTATCGCTCGTATCCTAGTGATGCGTGAACGGGAGGCTGGGACTTAATTGTCTGTCGTGAGTGACTGTCGAGGTAACCGAAACCGATCCAACGTGTTCGGAGTAACGGACCTCATTGATGATCGGTTGAGGTGAAGAATTAGAAACTATTCCTAGTGTTGTTAGAAAAAAAAAAAAAAAAAAACAATCGAGAGATCAAACACCTCGAATTCTTGGAACTCCTGATGAGGTGATTGGTGTGTCTTGTGATAATTAGGCGGTGTGATTGTTTGGAGCAGATACGTCTGGAAGTAGGCCTAACGACGGAGATCGCTCGATCGATCCGAGAAAGGTGGTTTCGAGACGATCGCGATGACGCGGCGAACCTAATTTCGACAATTCATCACTCGCAGATCCATTGGTCCCGTCAAAGTGGGTTGTCCACCTGGGAAGCGTACGATAATCGTACGATGATGCCGCTCGCGCCGACGCCAATCGTCCCGGTGCCATCCAGGCCGAAAATCGGCTTTAGCATCGACTCGATCGTCGGCGGCGGGCAGGGTGACCGCGAGGCGGATCGGTTGGAGCGAGTCGAAATCGATGGCAGTCCGATGGAGATAGTTGAGGGCTCGTCCTCGCCGCGGGCACGCCGGGTCGCCACGAGATCACCCGGTGCACATTCCGAGGGTTCCGATCGGCCTGTTTCCAGGAGTTCTTCCGTCGAGTCGTATCCGAACTCGCGACGGACACCGTCGCACGCCACCGTCGGTGGCGGCGGTGGTGGCAGCGGTGGTCATCATCATCTTCACAGTTCTCATCACCATCCACATCATCACAATCTGTCGGCAACGACACATCTGGATTTTGGTCGGACAACCGTTCACAGCCATAGCGGCGGCTCCACACCTAACAATAGTCCCAGTCCGCCACATAGGATACCACACGGGGACTCACCGGTCGGGTCGCATCCCCAACCGCCCCCGGGGGTAGTCAGGCCTAGCCCGAACTACCTCGCGCCACCACCCAACGCCGCGACGGCCGCGGCCATGGCCGCGGAGCAGCTCAAGTCTCTGTACGGTCTACCTGGTCACAGTCCCGCGGGACCACAAACAGGACAGAATGAATATCACACGCAGCAGCTGGCTCTGGCCGCTAATTTGGCCGCGGCCCAACATTTCCAGGCGGCGAATATCGCAGTGGCGTTACAAGCGCATCACGGCGCATCGCCCCATGGACCGCCGCATGGGCCTTATCCGCACGGGGGAACCCCTGGTGGTCCACATCCACCACCTCACCCTCACCAACCTCCCAGGGACAGCTATCCCCTGTATCCCTGGCTGCTTTCGAGACACGGCAGGATTTTTCCACACAGATTTCCTGGAGGTACGTCTTTTATGTTCGACATTTGTTTTCATTGAGTAGAAATCATATAGTTTCATATTTCTCTATAGGTGAACATTAATCGTCATGTACTCGGAATCAGACAATTATCTAAAAATGATTTATGTTTCTTTTTTTTTTTTTTCAAAGTGTATCTCTTTAACGCCCGTCGTTTAATTGTGTTGTATGATTTGTAGTGTCAAAAAATTTGTAATAAAAATATAATGTTTTCATATTTTTTATTCAGGTTTTTCTATCTTTGCAAATGCTTTTTTTCTGGGATTTATTGGGATTTATGTATATTGACGTCAGCAAATGTCAAAAATTCTATTCAAGTAAAAATATTTATTTAGTTTAATAAGAGAGACATCGCTGTTTGTCGGGGATATGTTTGTATTCAGTAGCTAATATCATTTCTGAAGAGTCAAATGACTTGAAAGAGTCATTTGACCTCTGTTTAGCGATTATATTACAGCGATTATTACGCTGAATATATAAGTTTAAATTTATATATGTCCGAAGATTTCGGCAACAACTTTGTAATTACATTTACATCAGGCTTATCGCGTAGTAATTTATCTGCATGAAAGCTATTCAAACAGATAAACTATCATTCGCATTCCTTATCAGAAATCATGCGAGATCAACGCATAGAAATATAATAATATTTATAATGAAAATGATTTGTCGCGGCACTTTGAATATCTCATGAACTTGCCGATCCGATATGTCAAAGGACATTGACACACATTTTTTTCGAGTGTTATCGGACCGAGTATGTCAAAGGACATTGACACACATTTTTTTCGAGTGTTATCGGACCGAGTATGTAAATAACTAACAAAGTCACACAAAATTTGATCGATGTGCGAGAGAGAAGATCACGGTTACGCGATTTAACAATAATAATAATTATCCCTGGTTACATGCGCGCGCGCGCGCGCGCGCATCTCTGCGTTACGTAATTATTTCGTAATTAAGATTTGGTAACATTGTTGTCTCAAGTATGGCGGTTCTCTTATCGCGCGCCACGCCACGCCGGGCAAAACAAGTGTCACAGTTTTCCCGCGTTTCTCGGCGTCGTAATTAATTTATTTCCCCGCGTTGATATCGCGCCAATCCAATTACGCGCTTATCGCCGTTCGTATTACTATTAATGGGAAACAGAAAGAAATATCGTCGCTCCCCGAGTGTTCCCCTCTCGGGTAACGTCTCGTTCGGCTCCCCGCGGCTCGATCGTTCCGTTCGCGCGATGCTGAGGCACGCATGCACAACTTTATGATGGATGACGCCGCTTATCGGTTACGCCGAGATAACGATTTCTCTCGTTCAATATGTATTATTGAACAATCTGAGATATGTCGAAGAGACGTTTAATGTTTACGACATAAAGAGAAGCGACACTGTCGTGAGATTAATTTGAGCCTTATTGAAGGTTCGCTGAAAGATCAATATTAATATCATGAACGTCTTATCTCCGGCTATTAGAGAGGCTATTAAATGTATCTCATTGATCAATTATAGGCGACACATTTTTTTTTTTGCCTGCGAATAACAATTTAGTCAATGACTCTCGAAACAAGTTTAAGAATAGCGTGTTGGATTTTCAAATAAGCGTTTTCTTTTTCTTTTTACTTTAGATTATAGGTTTATCAATTTCTGGATTCTAGAGACATTAGCCATTTAGGAATCTATTTTATTCTCGTTCCGAGAAGCATGATTGTTAGTTGTGTACACCTTACGCCAAGTCCATTTGATCTTTTTTCGAACAGCAAGATAGAGTCTGTTTCGCAAACTTTTTACAAACTACTTAAGATACGCTGGCCGGCAATCAAACAACGTAGGCCTCGTTTAGTGTTACTTACGTGGTCGGCTACAAGAGGCAGGCTCGGAGAAGATAGAACATCCCCGGCAGGTAGAGAAGACGATTATCATAAATTTACCGCAATCGGCACGTATACGGGGGACAAGGCGTGCCACTTGGTAAAGAAATATATCCGCAGAGACGAAACTAGTTTCCTTTGAGAAAAGCTCCACAGGACACCATATTAGTTCTCGGTATTTCGTATGTTTTTTTTACAAACTTTTCTCTTCCTGTTTTGATAACGGTGGATATGTCCAATGATTGAAAATTATTATCAAAGCTTTGCAAATTAATTGGAAATGAAATCATATATATGAAAAAATTATAATAGGACGTTATATTTATATAGCGTAAATATTTGTATAGGACGTTCATACTAGTGGCTAGAATATTAAAAATTTTTGAAGTAAAATTTATCATATTTATGTAAACATCTTAATCTATAATTATTTTGCGAATTCATTTTCAAGTTGGCACTAAATTTTGAGAAATCTGGAAATTTAGAGAAACTTCAACAAAAACCGTTTTCTCTGTGTACGAGTATAAATTTAAATGTCTATTTAAATATGAATATTTATTATCTATTTAAATATGAATAACGTAAAAAAACAAAAGCATTAATCCAAAGGAATCTTTTATTATCCTCAGAGAAAAGCTTTTTTAGAAAAAACAAAAAACAATAAGGCGACTATAATAATAAAAAGTACTTAAAAAATAGATTAAAAAAACGTCAAAAAGTCAAAGTTTAAATGAGCATATTAATAGTATTATAAATCTAGAAGAACTAAAAAGAAGAAACAGAATGTCTGTATTTATTATCATATTTGACAGTTGAATGTCTAAAGTAGTAGATTAACAGTAAAAGTATTAAAAGAAACGTCATGAAAGATCTTTGAGAAACACTAAAAGGGAGTGTAGTATTGCGACTAGTATTGCGAGAAAAAAGATAGTGAAGAAGTTCTAAACTGGTTAAGATTGATTTAATGTAAAAGAAGAAATGTAAAATGGTGAAAGTTGAATCAGATAACTTCGTCTTATCGCAACTTTGTTAAAAATAACTTGTAATTAATAGTGTCAAATAGTCAAACGTTAAGAAAGTCAACGTTTTAAGAAAATCAAGAGTTATTAAACGATTAATCCATTGTCTACTGGAAAAGTACCAAATAAAATTAAAAAGAGTGAGAAAGAAAGAGAAAGAGAGAGAGGATGAGATGAAGAGAGATCACATTACAAATTTTGCAAATAAGGATGAACAATATTCACTTATTTTAATTTAATATAATCAACGTAATAGTTTCTAATAATTTTAAAATTATTAAATAATACAAATCGAACTAAGAAATAAATTCTGCGGAGACAGAGCGGCTATTTTCTTCTCTTCAAAATTCTGAAGACAGAAATTCAGATTCTATTCGGAATCAATATATTTACGATTTAAACGACTTTTTCAGATATCGATTAAGATATTTCGCGTTGGCTTTTTCGATTTTTGTGGCGATTATTCCCGTTGAAGTGTTGACCCGATAATGCGTGCTCAAGATAGAGTATTACGCCCGCAGTATTGCCGTAATAAATATCTCCTATATATTAGAAATTGCGTGAGATCTCGCGCGCCGATCGGGTTTCTCTCCATGCAACAAGAGCATCGGGACGCATCGCGATGTATCCGATCGGAGGTTCAGTCACGTAGAAGGGGCAGCCGGCTTATCTAGTAATTAGTCGGTATCGGTAATTATCGTTGAGAGGAGCAAGAGATCCTCTCTTCCCCCGCTATTTTGCGGGCATACATGTACGTACGTACACGTACGTTTGAATGTACGAATGTACGAGTGCACGCTCGACCGAGCGCGCGAACGTGAAACCGTCTCGATAAGCGAGTCTTTGATTATTTTCTCTAGCCTATTTCGCCTCTCCTGCCTGCCAACGTCTCTAAAGGCTCTTAATAGTGCAAAGAGAACTTCCTTCTCCGAGTCTCCTGTTTCCATTCCGTTTTACGTTGACGGACATTACCGTAACGGTTAATTGCCCCGGGTGTTTTTTTCGCCGCTTCGCTTCTGCACAGATTTTTTTAGAACCGATACCGATATCGTGAGTGTGAAATCTTCGGCTGTCGCAAAATGATTTATTTTATTTATGAATTAAATATAAATGCGTGAGAAATAAAATCACGAATCGTGTTTGAATTTTCCGTCGACGATAATTTTAAAATCGGGCCTTTTTTACAACGCCAATGAAAAATGACGTTGTGGTTCGGTGATATTTAAGGAAAGGACAACAAGTTAAGTGAGCCTAAAATCAACATTAGTTTAAATGTTTAACTCTGACCGATTAAAGCTTCTCGCGTCGAGAAAAGATTAAATAACATTTCTCATAAACGCTTAAAGAGCAAGAATTCTTTCCATCTGGAAAACATGTAATCTCAGTTAATTCGCAGTTAATTCGCAGTTCATTTTCAATCTCCGTTTACTCAATCAATGGCTAAATACGGTAGAGAACATTCCGCTATCAACGCCGGCAGGTATTACTGTTGCAATTACATCTGAGATTTTGCAGATAACTAGCAGTCTCTCATCCTTGAGAGGAGTCTAATCGCCGGCGATGCGAAAACAATGCTATATTTAACGGCACGTCTAGTCGCAACGCGATTACAAATCCTGCTCGATAGGAGCTGCGCGCTAGACGTTGGTTGGCAAAAAAAAAAAAAAGGAAACAAGTGGATTCGCATCGTGTCTGTCGTATCCTAATAGCGACGCGTGATCAAAGAAAACATTTCTTCGTTCTCCATTCATACGAGAAGTCCATGAGTCCGTTTTTTTTCCGCCGCGCGGCTGTCGCTCGTCGCGTCGTTTCGCGAGGAAATCCTTCGCTTTTTCGCGCTATTTTGATTGCATCTCCATCCTTTCGCCGGGACTAATCACCACTGACGGTAAATTGCGTTCGGCCTGTTTTTCCATGCTCCCTTTTCAAAATTCGACTCGCGCGACGTCTTAATGACTATCCCGCGCGAATGACCACCGCGGTCGCGGCTCTAATTGCCTGTAATGAAGATCCACGGACTCGGGAAAGACTCGCGATTGTGAATACACATGCGGATTTGCGTGTAGTATTCGCGCTGGTTGCCACATTCTATTTTCCGAGA